ATGGTCGCCTAAAAATATACCATACCTCATTTTATGAGGATATGTTGTGTAGCAATTATAATCTCAATTCAATATTCAACAATTTACAATTACTTCCAACCACTCACTCGCACCTAAAATATACATTGGCAAGACACCTTAAAGGTAATTATTGTTAATAAATTGTTACTTTTTCTCCAAATGGCTTTATAGACTCAAAGCATGGCCACTCACAAGCACACACAGGTACACACATACCCTTGCATACATACACTGGCCAACATCCACCCACACATAACTGGGTGCACACAAGCACAAATTGCCATTCACTCTACTGAGTACTGGGGGCAACAACTATAGAGTGGATCATCATTTGCACTTGAGGCATATATGCAGTCTTTTGCAATTCTTCATACAACAGGCTGCCTGCTTGTTTAACAAAATGCTTTAAATAACCTTACAATCAGAGTACATTATTTCAGACTATTTCTACTATTAGCAAATAATCTCAGGGACAAATTGGTTTCAATCACTCGTTGTCAGTACATCAGTAACATTTCATAACAGTTCTCTTCAGCTTTGCATGGTCCTTATTCTTAATATAAAATACCTTCCCCTGACTAGCAATATATTCAATACCAAGCCTCATTCAGAGCAGCATATAATTTCAAAATGAATCTTACTAGCAACAACCATGTCTTCCTGTGAATCATTTTCCTAAAACTTGCCAGTTCTCAATATTTCTTGTACAAAAGTTAAAGTTTGTTTGTTCATTCCTTCAGATTTCTAAGATAATATTCCTGCAGCTTACTGTTAAACAGGGGGTAGTGATCACTTTCTCATATATATAAAGAGATTGATAAAAAAATTAAAAAGAAAAGAAAAGAAAAAACAGCATGTCATCGTAAGGGCAATTCCTTACTCAGCGATATTATCATCTAATGTCTTTTATAAGAGTCCCTGTTTCATGAAACAGCTTCTTTATTTAATAGGCAAGTAAATATGTGCTCTTCACGCAGCAAATTTTCCTTGATGAAAGTCTCGTCCTTTTTAGCCAGATCTAGATTCACCTCCACATTCCACTGCCATGTCTGTCCTTGTTTTTCAATCTCCTGTCCACTGATCACCATATGCACTAGAAAGGAAATACTAAAGACCTGCTATCACATCCCATTATATTATGTACAAAGCCATTTTGCAAAAGGCTCTAACCACAATCAGTTTGTAATAGTTAATCACTTAAATGCACATCCCTTTCTCTTACTTTTAACAAACTGCCATGACCCACTTCCATTCCTTACTTCAACTGGTGGTTAAGAGTTTAGAAGTGTTATTCGGCACTCTACTGAACTTACATTTGTAAATATAATTTACAGGCTTATTTTATGTACAGCTGTATAACAATAAAAACTAAAGGTACAAACTGTTGCAAAATTATTACAGCACAGAGTTTCAGAAACATACCATCCAAATAGTTGACTATGTTTAAAAACAGTGTCCTTTCCTTTCAAAAATGGAATTTCATTTTCTAATGTAAATTATTCACAAGTTCCTTCAAGTGTGTGCTTTAAAATATGTAAGCTTCTATTTCCAAACAAACCTAAACATCCATATATGTACAAGCATACATGCACTCACCCACACACACCCGCGTACATGTGCGAATGCTCTCTTTCTCTCTTAAATTAAAGAGTAATAAAATCTCATGGGACAAAAACCAAATACACACAGAGGCCAAAATACAAGGGTATAATTTATGCCATACTAGTGAACGTGGAACGCTATGCTAAGTCAGCTGTGATATGTTCATTATGTTGAAGCTTTGCTAGAACTTTATTAAATGAAAAAAGAATGTATATACACAGAAATCTCCTCATATCACTTACATATCATTAAAAGGCTACTAAAAAATATTTACATTTCATAATTGTTCCAAGTACCTTGTAAAAGCAGTAACTTTTTGAAGCTTCAAACTAAGAAACTGAAAGAAAGGGGAAAGGAGGGCAAGTAAGAGAGTCAGGCAAGAAGAGAAAAGATGAGAGCAAGAGAGAGAGAAAAGGCAAAAGAAAGAGAGAGAGAGAGAGAGAGAGAGAGAGAGAGAGAGAGAGAGAGAGAGAGAGAGAGAGAGAGAGAGAGAGAGAGAGAGAGAGAGAGAGAGAAAAGGAGAAAAGAGAAAGGGGAAAAGGAGAAAGAGAGAGAGAAAGAGAGAAAGAAAGAGAGAAAGAAGGGGAAAAGAGAGAAGGGAGAGTGGAGAGAAAGGAGAGGAGCAGAGGAAAGAGAAAGGAAAGAAGGAGAATGGGAGAGAGGAAGGGGAGAGTAAAGGAAGAAGAGAAGGGAGAGGGAAGAACAGGGAGGGCCTTGCAGAGAGGCAAGGGCAAGCTAAAAGGCAGAGAGAAATGAGAGAAAAAAACAAAGCACAACAAAATGAAAGACACGAGAGGCAAAGAAGACGAGAACGAAGGGGAAAAAGACAAAGACCGAGAAGCAGGCACTTCAATTTCACGAGTCCACTATTCAGGCGATGCACGAACAGATGAAAAGGAAAGAAAACGAAAAATCTCAAACTCGCAACAGTTCAGCACACAAACCAACATAGAAAATGAAGAATGCTTTAGAAGTAGTCAGTATGGAGTACAAAGCAGTAAGAGCAGCTAGTGGTGTAACAGCAATAGCAATATGATAAAAATAATTGTCCTAATCACAGGAATATTCATCATCAAAACAAAAACAAAAAAATAATAATAAATAAATAAAATAAAATAAATAACGATGACTATATATATTAGAAAAAAGATAAAGATGATGATGATGATGATGATGACGACGATTACAACGACAGCACTGACGATGACCATATTATAATTATTACCATTATCAAGATTTATATAATGATAGTAATAAAATACAAAATATAATAATGACTATGATAAAGATATAGATAATGATGATTTTTATAATATTAATCTTAAAAAACAATACAAATACTGATGATCACAATGAAAATTAAGTGGAGTGTGAAGTGGATTATGATGATAAATATTGATCATGAAAATAATAACAAACATTAGTAATGGTAATCAGCATATTATATGATAATAGCAGCAGTAGTTGTAGCAGTACTAAAAGTTGTAGCAGGAATAGTAGTACTAGTAGTAATAATAATAATAATAATAATAATAATAATAATAATAATAATAATAATAATAATAATGATAAGGATAATAATAATAGTTGTAGTAGTAGTAGTAGTGGTAGTAAAAGTAGTTGTAGAAGTTGTAGTAGTCATAGCAGTTGTAATATTAGTAGTAATCGTAATGGTGATACTAATAGCAGTAGCAGCAGTGGTGGTGGTTGGTGGTGGTGGTGATAACATTGGTGATGATGATGACAAATACAATGATATTGATAATAGTAATAACATAATATGAACAATTATAACAGTATATCATTATCATCATCATCATCTTCTTTATCATTATCATTATAACAGTAATAATACTATGCAACAACATTACTACTACTACTACTACTACTAATACTAAAAATAATAATAATAATAACTATGATGATGACAATGACGGTGACAGTGGCAATTGTGAAGATGAAGATGAAGATGATAAAAAAATAAAAATGATCATGATATTGAAAATACCAATACCAATACCAATAATAACAATAATAATAATAATAATAATAATAATAATAATAATAATAATAATAATAACAAAATCAATCATAATAACAAGAACAAGAACAATAATGATAATAATAATAATAATAATGATAATAACAAAAACAACAATGACGAGGACCAGGATGGTGATGAGGATGACGGCGACAACAACTTTGAAGAAGACGATGATGATTTCCCTTACAGAAAGACACTAGAGAAAACTGCATGAACTTTTTTTTGTTGTTTTACAAGTTTTGTTCTGTTTTAGAACTCCATCCAGCTCTTCAGTATATAACACTGCCATGTATGAAGACAATAAGAAAGGTGAAATGCACTATGCTGACACTTGGTTGCAACTTCACAGAGATTAGGAAGTACACTCCCATGTAAATCTAGTTCCAGTCTATGCAACATTAGGCCAACTTGCAATTCTTGGATTAGCTCTACATGATGAGAATAAGAGAGGAACTATACTATGCCCATTAAACCTGCCCTGACTACTATCATGGAAACGGATGCCTTCCTTAAAGAGCCAAATTTATGATTACGAAGGTTCTGTACTGACATTCTAAAAAAATACTATACATATGGCAGCTTTCACTTACACTGATTGAAGAATAGTCTTAAACAGTTGCTAAGATTCCTGACTGATGCTGCATTTGACAGACAAAATTTGCATACATAAAATACAGGAACATATAATGGTCAAATTTGTCATACACACTTAATTCAACAGAGTTTATTCATAAATGATTTCCATAGAGTCACTGGAGCTAATTTTTTATGCATTAGCAGATTCTATTACAGTTTATAAATATACCTATTCTATAAATCTATAAAATACTGTATGATCCTGTGCGTGAATTCTACCAACACACCTGGAAAAGCTGTGTTTCTCTCACTATGCTTTCAATGACATCTTAGAACAGAAATAATCACAATTGTTTTTTAAAGCCTCATCTAATTTCTCACATAAATCTCACATAAACCACTGCCTGCTGCATCATTTGTCTCCTCTTGCCTCTAACACTTCTTCAGTGATGCCACAGAATATTATTTCCTTTACTTAAAAGGCAAAATAATATATGTATATAGCTAGAGTCTACCTGATCAACACAAATCTCCAATAAGCTACAGTCAGCATCATCTGTTGTTCTGCTGCCGCACTACCCTCGTTCCCCCTCCTAATATCATACAATCGGGCCTGGCAACTCTGGCCTCCTGTACTCCACTGCTTGTCACTTTTGTGTTGGTAACATCAAGCACTTTCAACGAAGGAACCAGGCGAATTATTTCCTGTAGTCCAAAATCTGTTATTGCACACCCTGACAGTACTAGTGTATGAAGG